TTCTTGTTCCTAGTAGTAAGGCCAAGAGCCCCTAGTAGCATCCTTGCCCCTAGTAGCGATGCCCTTTGCTACACCTCACCAAACAGAATCAGTTGCAAGTTGCAAAGTATGTCACTAGAGTGCCACCATGGCGGCGAGAAAAAATCCGCCTGGAACCTACTATAGTATCGGTCCAGTCCTACATAATTACTTTAGTGCAAAGAGAGTGCAACGATGAAAAGAAACAAAATAAAGTGGAAGAAATGCAAAAAGTAAATGATTCGTTCAATGAATCTCCTCCATCTCTGGACGAGTCTGGTCCCTTACTCCAACATGCTATTCGCCTCCACAGAGCCCTTCATCTGCGTGGGCGACTTGATGACACCGCCATTCGCCACCATCGCCTTCACCCAGGCCCAGGTGAAGGCCTGGAAAAGGGTGGAATGAGGGCGCTCTTCCATCGAAAGTGTTGCCACGGAGTAGATTGGCATTCAAAATTGGTATCGCTACTAGCAAGGACGCTACTAGGTTGGAAGCTGCTTTTAACATGTTCTAAGTATCCATAGCACTTGACAGACAGGCGACTTCACCGGCAACGAAGAAACGAATAGACAATGACAGCCTCAACCACTATCGAATTGTCTCGTTCTCCCAGAATGGAGTCCATCACCATTAGGGTGGAGGCCATCGCTATTAGCTTCACAGAGGTCCGTCCCACCGTCCGTCTCACAGACCTCACGAGACGACGAGATGCGACGAGGCGCGACGAAGCTCACAGCTTCGCTCTGGGGCTCAGGGCTCCTTGCATCACTCCCTCGATCGGAAGCTCTGCACACCACTGAGCCTAGTCTGAGAATTGGCTTCACAACCCTTCGGCTTCCCTTCAGTTTCCCTTCGCAGCTGTCCCCTTGCGAAAGCTCTGATGTGAAGATGTACGCTGTACATCACTTTTTGTACATGAAACCACATGATCCGTCCGCAGAGGGCGGGCTCAGCTTGCTAAAAGGCGCGGACGCGGCGGCCCTTCCGTTCGGCTGCCCTCGACTTCGGTTCGTACTTCGATCCACCTTTCTGCTGGAGAACTTCGTGCGTTTCCAGTTTCTACATTGGTAGCGGAGCCCGGTTCAGGCCGGGCTCCCTACCCTGCGCACTTCGCGACGGCTTCCCGAAGGCTTGGAAGAAGCCCTACGTCACGAACGGTTCCAAGAGCTCTATTTTCCTGCCTAGGTCTTTGTCTGGCTGTTTTTCTCATCCGCTACCACATCACCCAAGCGAACCAGCAGACCTTTGAGGAGCTCTTTGGCACCATGGCCCAAAAGAAGACACCACAGACGCAGGCATCCGGCTCGGCGGGAAGCGGCTCGGCAACGGGCTACCTTGACCTCAGGGACTCCTATGTTCCCATCTTCAGTGGCCAGCCGAGTGACTACAAGGAATGGCGGCAGCGGATACATTTGTATCACCGCAAGATGTCCATCACCAAACGTGGGAACGAGAGCGTCTTGAATATCGTGGGCAGCTTCACAGGCCTCACCTGGAGACTCTTCCAGGACTGGGCATTGGAGGATCTCGAGAAGACAGATGCCTTTCCGAAGATCATAGAGGTCCTCGACCGGAACTTTGCCTATGACGCCAGAGTTCAACTTCCCACGGACTTTGAGGGATACTTCAACTTGTTGCAAAGGCCACCGGGTCAGACGCTCCTCATGTACGTCAATGACCACGAAGAAGCATATCGAAAGTTGGCGCAACATAAAGTTGGGCTTCCTCCCTCAGTCCAAGGATGGCATCTACTGCGCAGAGCTGCCTTGACCAGAGAGCAGCGACAGATGATCACGTTGAAAGCACCTGGCCTGGAGAAGAATGACGTGATCGAAGCGCTCTACTTGGTCCTGGGGCAGGATTACAAAGGAGGTGGCTGGAACTCTGATCGCAACCGGCGATTTCAATCCTCCTGGCGTTCACAGAAGGCGTACACCGCCGATGACTACGCCCCAGAAGATGATGGTGATGACAGCTGGGACTACGGGTACTATGAAGGTGAAGAACCTTGGCCCGAAGACACCACCCAGTATGACTACGAGGAACCGTATGACTTCGACCAAGACGCTGGCTACTTTGGTGCAGAACCATGGGTTGAAGATGACCCCAATGGCGAAGTCGGTGACCCTCAGGCTTTGGCAGATCAATACGATCAAGCGTTCGCCTCCTACACGGACGCCAGAAAGCGCTTCCAGGAGCTCAAGATGTCCAGAGGTTACCTTCCCATCGTGGCACTCACCGATGGTCAGCAACAAGGTCCGACTTCATCCACCTCTCCGACTACAAGTCCCACAGGTTGGAGGAGCAAAGGAAAAGGGAAAGGCGGTGGTTCCAAGTCGGGCAAGTCGAAGACCACGATCCGATATCCACCACAAGGAGGAGGGAAGTTTGACCCAAAAGGACGAGCCAAAGCCAACCTCAACTGCTTGCGCTGCGGCCAGCCTGGCCATTGGACTGCAAACTGTCCACAAGGATCGACCTCACCATCAAGGTCAAGCCTCAAGCGACCAGCATCAGCGACTGAAGGCATGGCATCTCTCACATCGCCTCAGGAGACGGCTCTTCTCATCTTCCAAGACAGCAGTGGTCAGGAGAGACCCGACTGCACGATGCTTGATCCTGGCGCAAGTGCTTTCCTCTCAGGCTATGGCCCCTTCAGGCGATTGGTCGAGCATTACAAGGACATCAACTTCCCGGTCAATGTCATCAAGATGACAAGGGGCAGGCGAAAATTCCAGTTTGGAGGAGACGCCTCACTATGGTCAGAATGGAGTGCCCACATTCCAGTGTTCGTGGACGGGCGCTACGGCACGATCGAGATCTTCCTCTTGCCGGGCAACACCCCAATGTTGTGCGGAAGGCCCATCATTGAGGCCTTGGGCATGTCCATGGATTTCGCCAATCGGCGCTTGAAGATCGGCTCATCTCCCTGGCAACCTGCCGTTCTCGGCCGACAAGGAGAATATCTCTGGTCACTGACCCAGGAGCACGACATCATGCAGTATGACCCCGACAAGCCAGAGTTTGAGCTGAGGACAAATGATCCCGACGTCCACCAGAAGGATGGCTATCTCCTCAAGGACTTCATGCTTGAGGAACAGGTCTTCAACAGCTCGGAGCCAATGAACATGAAGCTGAACAACCACAACACCAAACCCCTCAAGAAGCACGAGCTGAAGACCATGGACGTGACTCTCACCACACAGCTCAACGAACTGTCGGCATACATCACCCGTGAGCTTCATCGACCGGAACGCCCACGAGTCCTATGGGAGCTCTATTGCGGCAAGGCAAGAACATCAGAAGTGGCACAGTCGCTTGGCATGGAAGTCCGCACCTTCTCCTATAATGACACCGGCTGGGACTTCGATCAGCTCAAGCACCAAGAGGCTTTCCTGGAACTGCTCGACGAAGAAATGCCAGACGAGCTGCTGATTGCCCCAGAATGCAAGCTTTGGTCTCGCATGCAGTCACTTGGGAGGCGGACACCCGCCCAACAGGAGGCCTTGATTGCAGCTCGACAGCGACACCACGACAGGCACCTCATGTTCGCCAAGCGATCCTACCTCAAACAGCTCTCAGGAGGACGACATGCCACCATCGAACAACCCAAGGATGTTTTGTCATGGCAGACACAGGCCTTACGTTCACTCCCTGGCCGCATCACTGACTTCTCACAATGTCGCTATGGAGCTCAATGTCTGGACACCGATGGTCAATGGAGGCCAGTGCTGAAGAACACACGTCTGCTCACCACGAAGAAGACTGTTCAGGAAGCCATGTCCCTGCAGTGCCAGCACGACCATCAACACTGTCACCTCGA